GCATAAGGACCTGGGGATAGTCCTGGATAAAGTAGAGACCATAGTTGCTCCCCCACAGGATTAGAGGCTGCACTGAGAGCCAGAGGTGGGCCACTGGTCAGGGACATCTGCTGCACTCATCCTACTGCTGCCGTCCTTCCCAGCTTCATCCTGTCCATAAAACATCACCAGAGACACCCTCTGCCCATAAAGAATCTTTCCTGTGACCTTGGCAGTACCCCTGCCCAGTCACCATCCTCTGTCCTTCACTGACTCAGTCACGTGGTTCCTGTCTTACATCTCTGCCATCTGACTGGTCCTAGAGGTGATGATACCTTATGGTGATGACTGGCAGCATATAAAAAATGGCAACCTCACTCCCTGACAGTCGTTGATGTGATAAGCCACCCCACGCCTGTCTCCTTGCAACTCATCCGCTTCGCTGATACCTCTTATCCCTTCTCAGCTGCATCCCTGGCACACAGTAAGTGCTCAACAACACAGCGGGTGTCTCTGAAACAAAAAGACACTTCTCTCCCGGCACCAAAATGACCATGAACAAGTCAGGTCATCAGTGGGTCTCTGATGAAGCCTTAGAGACCCACTGTCCTCCAAGAATGGGCCCTGGTGCTTGGAGCCCCCCTCCCCCCAATGCCATGCAGGATACTTGGAATTCCAAGGCACACACGCCTTCTTTGTAAAACATTCTTGCTTCACCCTCAGTGGACCACTAACCCAGAAACTCGACACTCAAAAGAGCCACTGAGCGTGCAAGAATGCAGATGTTTGAGGCCCCAACCAGAGACCCTGCAGACTAAACTAGAGAGGTTTAAGGGTTTTGTTGTTGTTGTTGTTTTTCAGCTTAGTATTTTGAGGGGATTTTTCTTTCTTTCTTTTTTTTTTTTTTTGGTAGTGTTTTCTTTTTTTGAGGGTGGCAGGAGGAGAAGGCTGAAAGGAAATAGGACTATTTCTAGCACCTGTAATTACTCTGTGCCTCCTTCACCAGAATCCTCAGCAAGTTTCTCCCAGAGCCTTGGTCTACAGATCTGGAGTCAGAGATGCAGGAATTCAGACATGCCAACAGGGCAGAGAAGGGGACAGAGAAGCTAGAAGCATTTGTAAAGGAAGGGAAGGAACTTCTCCTGGAGTCTGGGGGTTCACCCCTCCTGGTACACCAGTGTTTCATGGTCAGAGAGCACTGAAACTCCGTCCTACTAAACTTGGCCCTGGGATATTGTGGCCTGAAAAACACCAGTGACATATACAAAAAGTCCCCCCAAGGAAGCAAGAAACATGAACTCACTCTTAGCATATCTCAAAAGGAAGGATATGGTCAGCCTGTACTAGGAGAGACAAACTGGGGTGCAGACCTGATCATTCAAGTGGGATTTCAAGGGGTAGAAAACAATCAACCAGCCAATTCAGTATTTCATTCCAGGTCAAGATCCAGCCTTCCCGTGTGCCAGGCACTGTCCTAGGCACAGAAGCTGCAGAAATAGATGGATAGAGCCCCAAGAGTGCCAGTCAACAGATAACCCCAGAGTATGAGCTAGTTGGATCCAAGATGCTAACTTTTTCACCATCAATGAGAAGATGCCTAGCTCATTCATTCAATCATCCACACACTCAAACTCCCAGCAAGTAACAATTATGCCCCAGTCACTGTGCCCCAGCCACTGTGAGAGGCAGGCCAGGAAGTCAACAGCGATCAACCAAGGTCTCTGCCTGGTTGAACCATGCATGGTTTAAACCATGATCCAACACCTGCGACAGTACCTCTGGGGTTCCTTACAAGCCCCTCAGTGGGGGCACTGAGGGTGTAAGGCAGCCCCAGCTCTGTCTCCGCAGCCTCACTGTCTGAAATACTTCTAAATGGGAGGTGGGAGCTTCCTCCATGTGCCAGGGACTAAATGAGATGCTCTGAGCAAACCGATAGTGTGCAAAACACCCCCTGCAACAGTGCACTGGGGAACACGGACATGAAAAGGGCTCTCTGGCCCTCTGGAGTCTCCCAAAGGCATGGAGGAGATGGGCCACCCCACATCTGCACACACCTGGGACTGGGCAGCGGGGAGGAGTGGTGAGACGAGGGGAAGTCCTGGAAGTTAAGAGAAGATGGACAGGTTGATGGGTCATACACAGAGGGCAGTCCTGGCCCAAGAGACAATGATGGCTAATTATGGCCCTCTGATCTTTCTTCTTCCAATTGCAACCGTCTGTCCGGCACTCGTTGGCTGTTCATAATATTTGTAGGAGGACATTCCTGCCATGCAAATCAGGGAGCTAGACAAATAAACTATAGTAAAGGCTAGGAACTATGAAAGAAACATGCCAGCCTGGATAGCCCAAGTCCCTGGTAGGAGACTCTGGCCCTGTCTTGAACCTTTACATCTGGATGGGAGTCCCCTGACTCAGTGGGCTTGAAAGTGGTTCCCTCCCCCATCTTTTCCAGGAGAGGGACTAGGAAGGTAGCCAGCTGAGGTCAGGGCCCAGCCATGGTCCCCCAGGAGGTCTGAGGTGGGTGGTTGGGGACAGGAGAGGCAGGGAGGCAGCTTCTCACCTGACTCCCTAGTGGAGGAGTGGCTGGGCCACCAGAAACAGCAGTGCAGATGTGGAAGGAATGCCTGCAAGCTGCCTAGTCCAGTTCCCCCTCCCTGCTTCCCCTCTGCCTTGCTGCTCTCTCTCCACTCTACAGTGGACACCTGGGGCTGCTCCTCTCCAGGTCTCTGCCAGTGGGGCTCAGCCTCCCGCAGCTTCCTCTGTGGCTCCTGACTCCACTTTAACGATCAACAGGGCACAACTCTCAGCTGGGCTCTCAGCAGGATCCCTCCTGCACCAGTCACACAGTGTTACAACTACCAGATCATATGACTTCCCCCATCGCGGATGGCTCGGCCTCAGGAGCAGAGACACTTGTACAGCTGTGGATCCAGAGCCTGGCAGAGGCCCTGATCTTTCTGCATGAGCTGAGCACATTGTTGAATGGACAAAAGAACAATCCTCTGAATGTCATCAGTCACACGTCTGTCTGCAGTCAGTCCTGCAGCATTTCTGTAGCACGACCTCATGCCCATTTCTACAGATGTGGAAACTGAGGTGCAGAAAGGCTAAGGAACTTGTCCAGAATCCATGTCAGAAGCTGGAATCGAAGTATGTGATGTTCCCGAGATACTGGAAGCCTGGGAGTGGAGGTGGGAGGGTGGCCCCGGGACAAAGAAGAGCATAGCAGGAGGGCCTCAAAGGCACTGTTCCCACTACCCCCTTGCTGCTCCCCCAGGGAGCCTGGAGATGCTGCATCTTGGGCAGGACTTAATCTACCAGGGAAGAAAGAGAAAAGAGGCCTCAGCCGAGAGAAGGCACAGCAACAGGAGTGGACATGGACAGAGACCAGCATAAGAGGACCCATTGCTGCCTGTCACCGGCTGCCTCCTGGCCAAGATCTGGGGCATCTAGGCCTCTGGGTGCCCACGCACACCTCCAGCCTACTCACCATCAGCCCAGACCCCACAGCCCTGCCTGCACCAGCCGCAGGAAACACAGTGGCTTTCCAAGCTGAACTTCCCAGAACAATTGCTGCGCCTCCCCAACCTGCCCGGAAAGGGGGAAAGAGCACAGCTGCTTCCTGTCCCCACCTGACTCGTCACAGCCCACAACTGTCCACCCCACTTCCTCTGGCTCCCGGGGACACTTAGGCCATGCCTGGTACATACAGGTCCTCAACACGCATGTGGAGTAAATAGAAGGTCAAAGAATAAAAAGGTCCCAGCCAGGCAACCAGTTCATCTATGGAGGCTCCTCCTGCCCCCAGCCAAAAAAACCCAGCTCCCTCACCACAGGAAACCAGCTACATATGACCTTGAAACTGTCCTTTCCCACCTAGTAGCCTGAAAATCTTTAATGCACACATCTCTCGCCAAAATACCTGAACTGAAAGTCCTAGAATCATACTGATTTTGATGATGGTGCTTATTAGGCACTTATAGCTGGACTCCAGGTCCCAGCTAAGCCCCTGCTGGTTTTGCACACACACCACCTTTCACCAGAGCCAAATCTCTTCCCAGTTTCCCTTCCTCCTTCCTCTCTAGTTCTCATGCATCCTAAGACCCAGCGTCACCTCCAGGCTTCAGTAAACTCTGCCCCCTATCAAAATCCTTCAGAGCTCTGCTGCACCTCCACTGTCTTCACCACCCACCGCCACTGCTGTCTTACCTGAAAATTATCTGGATATTTGCCTCTTCCCTTCCAGAAGCAAACACTCAAAGGCCAGGATTAAGGATCGTAAGTTCTACAAAAGGTTTCCACCTTGAAGCTCTAGATCCCAGCTATTTTAAGGACAGCACCAGGCATCCTATCCATGGGGTATTTAATACCCACTTCACAAGGGGGAAACTGAGGCTCCAAGGTTAAACAAGACACCGCAACACAGAGGCAGGAAGCACCACTGCTGAACCACAGCCACCTCCCTGTCTCCCAGTCAGGCTCAAAACTGCTTTCAGCCCCTACATCCAGACTAAACACGGCTGTCCAGGGCGGCTTCCTTTGGAGAAGGGACTGCCATACTAAAGAAGGGCCACATTCAGAGATGTCACCAACAGCCTACCTGTACCTGAGCTCTGAGGCAGTAGAACATGTGTGGGCTCTAGAACACTGAAATTCTGTAGAAGCCTCCTGCTCACCCCACACTGAGACATCAACCTCTGCCATGACCTGTGTCCCCTCCCTATCCAGCAACTAAAGGGGTTGTGCCCTTAGTTTAGGGCACAGAAGAGGCACGCCCCAGGTCCTCACCAACACCAACGCCAACACTGCTCTGCTTGGCTAGTGGCCGGGCCAATCCAGGTGCAGCTGTTACCTGGATGAGGCAGCATGAGAGAACGCACACACACACACACACACACACACACACACACACACACACACACACACACACACACCCTCCCTCCCTGTCCCCTGGGAGCTGTCTCTCACCCATTCCACAGCAGAATCTAACAAGCCTGGGCACACCCCCATCTCCAACCCACCAGAACAGGTGGCTGGGCCAGCTGGGAAGCATCTGCTTGCCAGGTCAGGTCCCTTGGGAGTGCCATGGGCCCAAGCCGCTGAGGCTGCGCTCACCTGGCTGGCACCTTCCTCTTCACTCAGCTCCCCTCCTGGATGGGGCAGGGTTGAGCTGCAAAGAGCACCAGGCTGCTGTGGCTGGGTGGGCAGCCCCTCCACCTCCCTGACCTCCCGCACCTGGTCCCCGCTCACTTGTAAATGACTAAGCGATTTCTCCCTGGAGCAGGCTGCCAGGAGGCCCGGCTGGCTGCAGAACTGCACCAGGATGCCCGGAGCCACACGCGCTGGACCCGTAATTAGCTAGTTCTCTTCTTGGGAAAGAAAACCCCTCCATGTTTTGTTTTGTTTTATTTTCCCCTTAAATGAAACAAATCCACCCACAGAGTTACTGGAAGCGCAGGCATGTGAAACTGAGCCGTTTGCAAAGAAAATTAGTCAGCAGCCTTTAGCTGTGCTGCTCGGGCTCTGTAGGTGGGGCTGCCTGGGCCCCAGAGTGCCCGCTCCGGAGGGGAACCAGGTGGCCCCGACCGCCCCACCTGCCGTTCCCACACCGGGTGATGCGGGCTGCGGGTCTGATTAGAATACAGCCCATGCCATGGGCAAGTTCACCGGTACCGGATGTAGAATGCAGTGCACTTTTTTACCGTGGGCCATGGAGGAATCGGACTGGTGTTCAAATCCTACCCGACCATGATAATGGAGCCTCTTGGGGTCTCAGGTTCTTCATCTGTAAATGGGAATGACAGAACCTACCAGGTGGGTGTGGCGTGTCCCCAGAATGGTAACATAGCATGCAAAAGGCAATCCCAAAATGCTAGCTGTTGATTAGGTGTAGGGGAGCAAAGGTGAGGGCCGTCTCAGGGTCCTGTCCCTCAGAGCCAGCGTGAGCCTCTTGTCACAGGGAAATCAGCCCTGTGTTTTACCCACAGTGCAGCCTGGTAAGGTGGGCAGTGGGCCAGGCCAGGGGCTAGCAGAAAAGCTCGAGTCCTTGCCTCTCTGGACCTGAGCTGTGTGACCTAGTTGGGCTTCTCCATCTGCTCCCCACCCCCATCTTGACAAGGAGAGCAGATTCATCCCACAATGTTTTATTTTCAACCAGTGTGTTGTGATTTTAAAAACAACGAACCCACTGAATTATTTGCCAATGTTTTTAAGGCCTGGAATCTTGGCTTCTCTAAGGGGGAAGAAAGGACACTCCAGTACCAGGGAGCTCCATTGCCCCAGGGCCACCCTTAGGAAGGACATGCACCTTCTGCTCTGTCACAGTCCTCCCCTCTGCCCTACAACCTTCCTTCCAAGTCCCTGGGGACATGTGAGTTTGTGACCCAGTTTAAAACCCTAATTAAAACCCTAAGGCACCACCTTAGCCACTTGTCACTAGAAATATCCACAGGAAGTATCCCTGGGGAAGGTAATTAAAATCTGACGGTTAAGGCTAATTTTTCTTAGAGAAAAATAAGACGCTGTAAGAAGACCTACACCCTGGGCTGGCCAAGGGAAACCCTGTCTGAAAGACTTTCTGTGATCTCCTAAACAAAGGACAGAGTGAGTGTCAGTGTCCTGCTCTTTTTTCACAGCCTCCCTCTCTCTCCTGGTTAGGAACTCAGGGCGGGATCCCCCTGGCTCTCACACCTCTGGACATGCAAAAGGAGGGCAGTAGAGTCAAGATGCTGGTGGGCAGCAGACCTGTGCTCATCTTCAGCAGAGAGACTCTGGACAGCCTTGAGGAGCCCTCCTGCTTACCCAGTCAGCCAGCTCTTCTGTATACTTGCATATTCTGTATATTTGAATTCAGTGGGACACGGCTGGATCTACTCCCACTCCAGCAGAGACACTGAAAATGTCTAGTGGGCCTCTGGGGCAATTTCCAGTTGCCCCAATCACTGCTGAAGAGAAAAGTGTTGAGGCACAAGATCTCCAGCTTTCGCTTTTTTTAAGGTGGTACTGGGGTTTGACCTCAGGGCCTTGCTCTTGCTAGGCAGGCACTCTACCAGTGGGGTCATGGCCCTTCTTTGCTTTAGTTATTTTCACATAGGGTCCTTGTGCTTTTTGCCAGGGGCCAGCCTTGGTCCTGTATCCTCCTACTGGGATGACAGATGTGTGCCTCCAAGCCCTGCTCTAGGATCTCCAGTTTTCTCCCTCTTGAGTGACATCCCCTTTGTTCATTCAACCATCACCAAGCACCCCGTAAGGGCCAGGCACCAAGACACAGCAGTGGGTGAGCTGGGCATGCCTCAGCTTCCAGGCTGCAGCATCACAGGATATTTTCTTTTACCTCCTCCCGCTGGTACCCTCTCATGCCCCAATTAAGAAAGACTTCCTTCCATCAGAAAGTCCTCCTGCATGGCAACAAGGTGCACTCCGCAGGGCTTATGCTGCGAGGTACGGCAGTGACTGCTGCCTTCCAGCAGCACTGGGGTTTGAACTCAGGGTCTTATGCTTGCTAGGCAGGCACTCTTACCACTTGAGCCACTCAGCCAGCGACTACTGCTTTCTGATCTGCTCCGCACCCCTATCTAGCTCAAGGGTCCTGTGGGCAGTCTGCATTGAGCCTAACTGCTTCTCCAACTCTGGCCTGATCTTTTAACCCATTTTAGCTTTGGTTTTTCCCACCTGTAAAATGGGTGGTATATGAGTTAAAGATGGAATGTGTCATGTATCTAGGAAGGTGCCTGGCACACATAAATCTTCCGTTAACATTGAGCAAACTGGTCTCCTTTCTGAAGCTGCAGAGAGAAAGGCAGTCTGTGTGCAACAGGCCCACTGTGGACACATGTGGCCTTGGGCCTGGCTTTGTACAATCAGCACATCTGCCCACGGTCACCTCCCCCAGACAGCTTTCCCTAGGTACTTCTGAAAGCCAGGCCACTTTTATGTGATGAGTCAATGAAAGATCATCCAGTTATCACAAAATCCAGTTCATGAGCAGCTCGTCCAAGAAACTTCTGTGACAGCGCCTGCCTAGGTGACTACTGGCCCTTCACTTGAGAGCACTTTCACCCGACACCCCAGTCTTCACCTGCAGGGTGTGCTGCAGTGATGAGAAGAAACTGAACTCAAGGACATGTCCATGGCCTGCCCTGACTGCACAGGTCCTAAAAATCACCAATGTGGACACTTACAGCAGGTAACCATGCGGCTGAGTTACAAAACCATAAAAAGAATCATGCAGCTGGGTGGTGGCAGCTCACACCTGTAATCCTAGCTACTCAAGAGGCTGAGATCAGGAAGACTGTGGCTTGAAGCCAGCCTGGGCAAATAGCTCATGAGACCCCCCACCTCGAAAAACCCTTCACAAAAAGGGCTGGTGGAGTGGCTCAAGGTGTAGACCCTGAGTTCAAACACCGTTACTGCAAAAAAAAAACAAAAAAAAAAAAAAAAGAGAAAAGAAAAAAAAAAATCATGCACTAGCTTTCATGGCATATGTTCTGAGCCCTGAAGAGGCAGCATCAGTCTGCCTAGTGTCCAGTAAGGTCAGGTAGGCCTTTACCTTGTAAAATGTTGACAAGAGAGAGAGAGAGAGAGAGAGAGAGAGAGAGAGAGAGAGAGACAGAGGGGCAGGGGGAGGGAAGAGACAGAGAGAGATTGATCGATGGGAACCAGTGACCAGTGACACAGGGACAAAAAATTTGACCGCCTGAAGCCCTCCCGTATCTCAAGACTTAGTGACTGGCTTCAGAAAGACATCAGCCCCATCCTCTATTCTGTCTAAACAAAGGTAGTTTACCGGGCTGTGGCTTAAGCACAGCTCCGCATCACAAAGTTCACATTCCCCAGAGATGCTTACCGCACCCATCTTCCCAGGAAGAAAGGAGAGGTCACACCCCACATTGCCAAACATTTCACACTTGACACACCGCACTTAAAAAACAGCCTGGGTGCCACCTGCTTGACCCCTGTATCATTGGCTCTGATCTATTCCTGACGGTTTACAGAAGCATGTGGAGAGAGGCAGGGAGGCTGGAGGCAGCCATTCACAGCTGGCCTTTGGCCTTGGACCTCTTTTGTGTGTAGCGGTACTGGAGATGGAACCCAGAGCTCACTTGAGTCACGTCCCCAGTCATTTTGCTTTTAGTTTGTTTTTCAGATAGGGTCTCTAGCTTTTGCCCAGACCAGCCTCAGAGTGTGATCTTCCCACCTCTGCCTCTCAAGTGGCTGGGATTACAGGGGCTCCACATGCCCGGCCCATTATAACTATTGTCAGCAGTTCAAACTACTTCCCCTAAAGCTAAATCGTGTATAGAACCCTGTGTCCCCCGCCACACATACATACAGAGTGCAAAAATAAATAAGATTCCTGTGGTTCAAATGGCCCTGAAGTCCTTCAGTAAACTGGGGACAATGTCCAAAGGAGTCTGTGCTCTGAAGAAGCTCAGTTTAAATCCCCAAAGCACAAGAACCCTGTCTGACCTTTTCTAGGACTCCAATGTTATTCCTAAGCCTGACTGATCTTTCCGGAAAGGAGAATATCCAATGCACATTGAAGAGATGAGGGAACAAGAAGTAATTGTTGGGGCTAGAGGATCAAGGTCTAGAATTCAAGATAGCAGTCTCTGCTCTTTGTCTGTGTTTGAAATTTTCCATCATAAAAATACACAAACTGACAGCACAGCAAAACCTCGGCTGTGGCCAGACACATTAGGGGAAAGAAAAAAACCCAGTCATGGTGAGGACTCAGCTCCAATGCAGTCTCTGGGTCGGCCCTGTCTGGGCATCTCCCCCAGTAGAGGCACCAGGACAACCAGGACAGAGCCAGCATTCAGGGGACACAGGCTGGATGATGAAGGGATTTTTAAAAGGGGGGAACCCTTATCCCAAGCTGTCCAGACAGCCCTGAGTGTGTCTAGTGGCAGAAAGACCACAAAGGGCAGAAGGCAGGGGCAAGAGAAGGAACCTACCACAGGGAACAGCTCAAGCTCAATATGACGCAAGGGCAAGAAGCAGAGAAATCCCATTTCTCCAAAGATGACAAGTCTTTTCAATGGACCCGTGACACATACATATAATTTACAGGTAATTACACCTGTGCTGCCTCTTGATCTCTGTAGCTTCACAAACACAATGTAACCACTTTCTTCAAATCTCCAAATTGAAGACCCTGGGACCAAAAGAAACATTCACCAGCCTTCCCTGCTCCTCATCTTCAGAGAAATCAGTCAACTTGATTCCGGTTCCCCAGCTTTCTGATTTTCCCAGGGGTTCATCCCCCAGACATCCACGTAAGCACCAAGCAAAGCCCACCATTCTCCCACTCCTGTGCTGAATCTGAGGCTTCCTGGGATCCACCTACCAGGCAAATCTCCCCAGCAGGGGCCATTTCCTATGGCTTTCCCATGGCAGGTGTAGGAGCAGCTGTTATCATGGGGTCTCCCCAATCCCTACCCAAGGGAAGATTCGGCAAAA